CACGCAGCCACTCACTCACTCCCCCACCCATGGGATGGGGGAGCAAATTAGAAGGGTAAAAGCTACAAAAACTCATGGGTTGAGATAAAGACAGTTTAATAGAGAAAGCAAAAGCTGCACACACAAGCAAAGCAAAACGAGGAATTAATTCACTGCTTCCCACAGACAGGAGGTGTTTAGCCATCTCCAGGAGAGCAGGGACCATCACGCGTAACGGTTCCTTGGGAAGACAAACACCATCACTCCAGATGTCTCTCCTTCCTCCTTCTTCCTCCCACCTTATATACTGAGCATGATGTCCTATGGTATGGAATATCCCTTTGGTCAGTTTGGGTCACCTGTCCCAGCTGTGTCTCCTCCCAGTCTCCCATGCATCCCCAACTTCCTTGCCAGTGTGGCAGCATGGAAAGCAGCAAAGGCCTTGGCTCTGCTCCGCAGTAACAAAAACATCTCTGCATTATCAACTCTGTGTTCTGCACAAAATCCAAACATAGCCCCATACTAGCCTCTGTGAAGAAAGTTAACTCTACTCCAGCTCAAACCAGCACAGTCATGGAAATTTGAGCTCTTGGACAGAGTTTTCTGACCTCTTCTGATTTCTTTTTGCCTGCAGAACCCCCAACTCCCATCGCCCCTCCCGAGCTGCTGGCTGTGGGAGCCACCTACCTGTGGATCAAACCCAACGCCAACTCCATCATCGGGGACGGGCCCATCATACTGAAGGAGGTGGAGTACCGGACAACCACTGGGAACTGGGCAGAAACACACATCGTGGACTCTCCTAATTACAAACTGTGGCATTTGGATCCTGACGTGGAGTATGAGATCCGAGTGCTGCTCACACGCCCTGGAGAAGGAGGCACTGGGCCCCCTGGGCCCCCACTCACAACCAGAACCAAGTGTGCAGGTAGGGTTTCTGCTGCTTTTCACACAGCACAGCTGCTTTGGTTCTCTGCTCACATAGTAACAACTGCTCCTGCACACATCCTTGTGGTAGATGTGCTTTGTCAGTGATCTGAATTGACACTGTGAATGTTGATATATTTTGTGTTCTATTCCATATGCAGCTGGTTAAGGAACTGTTGGGTTTATGACTGTGGTAGAGTTGACAAACTTTTGCCACAGTGTGTGGCTGTTTTCTGTTGAAATGGGAAAGCAGATGAGAATTTTCCAACCAGTTTTCCAGCAGGAAAATTGTTTCTTCATAGTATGTTAAGGGGTTGGAATGAACCTTAGAGATCATCTTGTCCCTTATCATAGAATAGTCTTATAATCTATGTTAAAATTTTCACTTCTAAGTGCATAACAAAATTCCCGTTGTTCCTGGTAATGGTTCAGCACTGGTTATTAACAAATTGATGCTGTTATCTGTTTAGCAGTGCTGTGCGAGCAGGAAACATTTAGTTTTTAAGCTACTTTTATGAATTCCATTTGATGGAACTGATTCTTCTCACTTCTGACAAAGAAACCTGTTCAAACACTCTGCAGAATCCTCCTTTTTCTCTTTCATATTCGAACGGATCAATTTTGATCCAGGCACAGGAGAAGTCTGTCTTCTTTCTGAGCTATATTGGCATTCCCACAAAAAACTGAAGGACTGTGTTGCTCATGTTTCAGATATATTGGCTATTCATCCTGTTGTCATACATTAATCATTAGCCATTAAGGGAAATCAAGCTCTGGGCCTGGCAAGGGGATGAGCAAAGCACTTTTCTCCCTCACATTGTTTTTCCCACTGCACAACTGCCTTCTCAAGGTTTGCATTTCTGTAGTTTTTATAAGGTCCTTACTGTGGTATGAACAAAGGACAGAGAGTAAAAGGCTGCTCTCCTTTTTTTACCACCTTCTTTCCCTCCTTACAAATTAATGGCTTACAGCAAGTGGATTTAAGTAGTGGAAAGCTCATACAAAACTATTTTGACTCCAGTTACTTTTTCTGACCAAATAGCAGGTCTGAAGTGAAGGCATTTGAGATGGGATGAGGTTAAGCAGGGCAATGTTAGTGTTTCCCACTCACTGACACAGCAGGAGCATCCTGGCAGCATCCTCTTCCAGGAGAGGAAGCCTGGCATGTTGAGTGTGTTGTGGTGGTGGCATCATCCTTTTTTATGGATGTTAGAAACCAGTGAATATTCAGTGTCTCTGTGTCAAGAATTGGTTAAAAATAAATAAATCTGAATTTGAGGCTCTGGCACAGAGATGTTTGCTATATTCAGGACATTTCTGCTGGTATGTTTAGATAAGCAGATGTTCAGAGGCTTTGCTGCAGCTGTGTGGAAAGCATGGAGTGATCTGGATGATGTCCTGGCCTATTGGGGAATTTGACACATGCTCTGCTACTCATTTTTTGGCTTTCTTCTCTTCACTAGTGTGCTCAAATTCTCTTAGTGTCATCAGAAAGAACTGCAGGCCTGGGCCAGGTCTGTGCATTTGCATGTGGAAATGTGACACGCTGAGACTTGGTCTGTAGCTCGTGTGTTAGCACTTTGCAGACACACTCTCTGCAGCAGCCAAACTTGCAAACTTCTCTGCATTACCTGTAAAGAATTCTGGCTGTGGTTTAATTCAGAGGTTAAACTAAAGGATGTTAACTTTGTGCTTAATGTTGTCTTGTCCTGGGTCCCAAATTGCAGAGTTTTCTTGCTCAGCTCAGGTATTGACTGACATCAAGAAGGATGACATAGATAATTTGTTCAAATTGGCTAAGCTGAGCCACTCTCTGTTTTCCATCCTATTTTACTAATGAAAATCTAACTGGAGAAGGTCATTCTGTTAATGTTAGCTGTCAGGCAGAGCTTGTTGAGATTGATGGTGATGGCATTTCTGTTTTGTTTAGGGCATTGGGTGGGAGAAATTGTAATGAACTTGATCTGAGCATGGACTCAGAGGAAGGGACTTACTCAATAGTTAAAGATGCACAACTTCCACCAAATATCAACTGAAATGATAGACAAGAAAATGCAACTCATTATTCCAGTTTCTGTATGTCATGGAACTCCTTCAAAATACCTCAGTTGGAGGATAATTATACAAAACTTCCATGGTAAAGATGTTCAAAAATGTGCTGAACTGAGCAACTGCCTTGAATTTCCTTAGAGTACCTAATGAATGACATCAGGGAGAACTAACAGGTTTTGAAACAGTTGAAGAATAAGTGAAACTGCTTTTTTTTCACGTGAATTTTTTGGTTCTTTTATTTGTCATTACTTTTCCTTAGCAAGAGGAAAGTACCAAACTCCCACTCATTTGTGTGCAATCAGTAGAGGATTGGAGTAGTCCTGTTTTACTACACTGTTTAGTGTTGTGCTGTGTTTATTTAGCTCACAAATAAAGACAAAATTGACTGCAGAAGTAATGGGAGAGACTATCACCTGCACTGGAGAAGATTTGCTCAGTTAAATCACACGAAAACAGTGTAAAAATAAGCAGAAAGTGTCTACTACCTTCTAACAGTGAGAAGTCGACATCTCTTGTACTAAATACTCTTCTTAGGGACTTGTCACATAGAGATTGAATATTTGTTTGCTGATGAGGCTGAGTAACTGGTACAGCCTTCAGTTTAGGCACATGTCACAATGAGAATCTTGTTTAGGGATGAAAATAAAACTTAGAAAAGGATTTGGGAAGGACCAGGCTTTTCTTCCACTTCAAATCAAGCAACAGAAGCTCATTTGCTAAGAGGATTGGAGCATCTCCCCTATGAGGACAGACTGAGGAGGTTTGGGCTGTTCAGCCTGAAGAAGAGAAGACTGTATGGAGAGCAAAGTCATGGCCCCGATGGTTCATGAGCTTAGAAAATCATTACACCACAACACAACTCTTACCAAAATCATCCATTACTTTCAGATTTTTGATCAGACTGAATGGGAGTTGTTTTCCTGGACTGAAAAAAAAGTTTCATTAGATAAACCCCATAAAAACTAATTATGAAAGGTCCTGCTCTAAATGAGCACAAGGAACTTTTATTAAACTGGATAATATCTTATCTAAATTTCTATAAACAGTATGTGTCTGGGCATCTGTTACCCCACTGGTGATGCTTTTGCTTTTCTACAGGACAGCATTACAAGATTTGATTAATATTTGATCAGTAGAAATGATACTGAAGTCCCAGTTTGCTTCCTTGCAGGAAAAGCCAAGTGGCAGAAAATACAGCAAACCTGCCTTTGTGCATGAATGAGTTTTAGTTTTCTTACTTTCTGTGGGGTTTGTGTTTTGGTTTTGGGATTTAGTTTGTTTGTTTTTTCATAACTGTAATGGGTCATGACTCGGGACAGGAAAAGATTAAATGACCTTGAGGCATAAACCAGTAAACTGTCAGTCAGAGGGAAGAGTTGCTCAGCAGGGAATGGGGAAAAAAGAGTGAGAGCTTAAGGTTAAGACCAGACACAGGGTTGAAGGTTGGTTAAAGAGAGATAGATATAAAATATTAGTTTTTTATGCCTTAAACAATAGGTTGAGTGGCATAGCAGGACTAAATAGTGTGTTTAAGCACAGTTCCCAGTAGTGCCTGAGAGTTCAGCACTGGTTTTCCAAGTATGGATTTATTTTAACCATTCTCTATAGTTAAACAGAGCTCTTTAAAGTCCTTGTTGCATGGGCTTTGTTCAAAGGGGTGTGCTTTGGGAAGCTTGGAGCTCATTTTCTTCTCTGTTCTTATTGACTATTCCCCTGCTGGTGTTTTTTTTTTTCCTTTTTTCAGTTGCCACAGAAAGGCAGAATAGGGCAAAAGTCCTTTTTTTCCACTGGTGGATGGGAAAAAGAAGGGAAGACCTTTCAGTTCAGGCCATCATCATGGGACAATTTCAACTGAAAAGTGTTTGCCTTCTAGTGAGATGAACTCACATGAAAAGCAAGGCCAAAGAGTAACTTTTAGAGGAATATTAATAAAGGGACAGAGAAAAGACTTTCTTTACAATTAATATTTAGTCCTGATTAAAATACAGTCTTGAAAAGCTGCCCTGAACATTAACTTCTCATTAGCTTCATTAGAACATTGACTGTTCCTTCATTAGTTGTTCAGACTAAAGAAAAGGAAGCTCAGGGGGGACCTTATCACTCTCTACAACTCCTTGACAGGATGTTAGAGCCAGGTGGGGGTTGACTCTGCTCCCAGGGAGCAAGAGACAGGACTAGAGGAAATGGCCTCATGTTGTGCCAGGGGAGGATTAGATTGGATAATAGGAGAAATTTCTTCACTGAAAGGATTGTCAAGCATTGGAACAGGCTGCCCAGGGAAGTGGTGGAATCAGCATCCCTGGAAGTGGTCAAAAGGTGTGTGGCTGAGGCACTTGGGACACAGGTTAGTGGTGAACATGGTGATGCTGGTTAAGGGTTGGATGTGATGATCTAAGGTCTTTTCTAATCTCAGTGCTTCTGATTCTGTAATTCTCTGCTTTTTTGGATATTGACAACAAGTGACTCATAGGATGAGGAGAGTTTTGTGACCTTGAAGCTTGGAAGCAGATTGCCCCAGTCTGACAGGAGAATTGCTTGGGAAGGAATGAGAAGGGAGAAAAAGTCTGAGAGACCCCATAAACTTCCCCCCCCCCAAAACGTGGCAATGATTCATCATAGAACAGGCTTATGATAATTGGAGGTTTGTCCTCATATGAAAAAATTCCCAGGGTTCACTTGCAGCCTATCTGTTAAGATAAGCTGCTGGAGACTGAGTTAATCAGCAGAGGATGTGATTTAGCTCCTGGAGAAAGGAACAGTTGTCAAGATCAATACCCAATTTTTGCTGTTGGCCTAGGGAAATAAAAGTCTCAAACGATGGGGCTGAATTCAATACTCCTTTTAAAAATACACAGGATAAAATAGCTGATAGAAATGCAAATAATCTGAATATTCAGAGTTTGATATGGTGTTGCAAAGCACTTGCAAAACCTTTGGTTAATATTAACA